GGAAGGTTTAAGCTTCCCACTAGCAGATGTTGCACATGCAGACATGCTGCATATCCATCTGTTCTAGAAAGTTCCCCATTTTCATATTCTCATCTTGTAGTTTTGAGGAGGCTGAGCATACCACGCCTTATCCGTGGAGGCTTTCTGCTCGGCTAGTTTCAGACAAAGGTACCATTAACTCCCCAACCTGCAAGAAAATGATTTGACACAAAGGATTCCAAAATGTCCTCCTCTCCCCCTACAAGCCTGCAAACAAATGGTACAGGAATAAGGTCAGAAAGGAATCCCCCGCCTACCAGGCCGCTTGAATTCATTTACCTACCTCAGAGCCCATTCAGAGAAAGGAGTGGGACAGGGAACAAGAGATGCTTGGAGGCCAAGTGGAGTTTGGGGGTCGAGCGCTACATTACAAGATTTGACAGGCCTTTGCCAGCCTTCAGCTTCTTTGTGTCTCTCACATAATAGAGAAACACAAAGTGAGCAGCACACGATCTGTGGTTACACCCTTGGACAGAGCACATTCTTTGCAAATGCTAATAGTATTGTAGCATCCTGTCACCCGGTAACACAAAAAAGGATGTTGATTTTCACATGAACCAGAACAGGCCCATTGTACACAAGTTTGTGACCAACTTGTAGTATCTGCACATCAAAAGCCCAGCCAATCATAGAGTACACAGCTGGCGAAGCGCACCAACGGGGGGCGCCCAATGGGGAGAACATCCACGTCCAAATGCCTCACTCCACCAATAGGGTAATAAAACCCAGTACTTTTGACATGAACGAAATTACACTCCCACAATCTCGATTCAGCTGTGAACACAGCAATTAGTATAATTAGCAAGGATATAAATGTCTCAGATGTTCAGAATGAGAAATCTGAATGTATGGAAATGGGAGTGGCTTTGTGCTTGTCCTGAGAGCCTCTGAAATGGTAGAGGCAGCAAAAGGCAGGGATGTACAATTAAGTATCACATTAAGGACATTCTGATACATGAAAAGATAAACTCAGAGTATCTATTTCCATTATAATAGTCTTGAGAAACTAGATACATTTCAAGGTAAGAAAATTAAAGAATGTATATGAGAGTCCTGAAAATAAATTTAGTTGAAATTGTAAAGCCATCTGCTGATATCTTTTTTTTTTTAAAGTGTTAAATTTATTAGAAACAAAAAGGCAGCCAAAAGTAGTAATTTGGGAAAATAAAATACCCAGTCCAGGTTTTAAAAATTGGGGTAAAGGTAATTCTGTATCTTAATAGTTAACTCAAAAAGATGTACAGAATCTGCACAAGATGAAAAAATTAATGCGATTGACATGTTGAAGAGAAATTGCAAAGCACCCATTTTCACTCCTAAGACTCAACGTCTGGGGTTGACATGGAATTAGAATGTACTGAATCTCAATATTGTCTTGTCCACGAGGGCCTCACATGGTACTACGCATCTCTGCTGATAAGTCTATTCTGGTGATGCAGCAGCCACCTCATATAGTTACGGAAAACTATCCTGGGCCATTTCTGTTATGAAATGTGTTAGCTCATTTTGCACTTTCTAGGTGTATCATGTGCCCTAATTAATGCAATCCTAATATCAAAAACTTGGTTTTTTTCCTAACAGTTTTGGAAAGTGCATATGCTTGTAATCAGATTTGTTTTCAAATTTTGATTTTACTACTCCCTAGAATGACCTTGTGCAAGTTACTTAAAACCTTTTTGAGCCTATTTCCTCATCTATAAAATATACTCTATGATAATGGACGCAAAACACAAGACATATTGGTTTCCTTGCTCTGGATTCAAGTTCTCTTCTCAACTTCAAAATCTAAAAGGAAAACCAAAAATGTTTCCTGGGACCAAAACTTGGCAAGATACTGACAAATGAAAAGCCTTCAGAGGAGTTTCTAGATGGATCCCAAAACACTTCTACGAGTTCTTAGTCCTGCTGAGACCATTATAATAGGCCATTAGTAAGGATGTGTTAATATATTCCTGGAATGGCTACAAACTTAGCCATCTCTCTGCACTCTTTTTCCCAATACACATCAGGCACCTTTTTCTCCTGTTGGTGTTGATCATGGCAGTGGGAGGTGGGTACACTGTTGTCACTGGGTGTGGGCCACAGTCTTGAGATATTGGTAAGTTGATTTCTTATTTTTACTATATGTAAATTGACTGGAGAAAAAAATTATATATATTTGGCATGCAAGGGGATTGGCTGTGTACCATGTGGAGCATTACAGCAAGTGTGAGCACTTATGATGTAAGTCCTCTAGACTTAAGTCCATTTCTTAAAGGAGAAATAGTAAGCACTGCATTTTATTAATGGTGCAGGACTATTTCTTGTGTTAAAATGTATGGAAAAGAGAGATTAATAAGAAAAATGGAACATAAACTAAGGGAGCAAAAAATGGTTAGGTTCATTCCTACAGTTGAGACGTAAGTTAATTTCAGCATTTCCTGGCAGCTAAAGCAAAGAAACTGGGAAGGTCTAGAGTTCTTATCATCAGAAGGAAAGCAGTATATACATTTGTCTGGAGGGGGAACTTTGCTGGCATGAAATTATCTAGAAACCTTTATTTTAATGAGTTTACGTGATAACAAAGATACGTCATTAGGTTAAACTGCAAAAGATATTGTGTATTTTCTTCAAATAGATGCCTCATACAGTAACTGTAAAAGCCAAAGGCATAATATTAGACAGATTAAAAGGTAGGTAAGTAGTCCAGGCAATATTTTGCTTTCTGATGATTTGGCCTCATCCTCAGATGAATTTTAGCAAAGCAAGAAGATGGAGTTAACTTATTCCCTATGTGCTTTCTCACAAATATAAGAGGTCTCAATGAGCTTTCAGCAATTGCTAGATTACATAAGCCATGGACATATTTTCTGCTAATATGGATAAAATTCTAATTTCTGTGTTGTTGCTCTGTGATTTAGTAACCATAAGAGTGCAAGAGTAAGCAGCAGAATGGTTATTCTGCTTTGAACACTAAGGAGTGTAACTTGTATTCTTAATGCAGTCACAAGACATATGCTCTGTGGGAGGCTGCTGGCAGTATCACTACATGGTGACTGGGACTTCAGTGGTGACACTAGCCTAGTTTTTTCAAAAAAAGATTTTAGAATCTTCTCAAATACTTGGATAGCAATCAGTTTACACCTGGGCTAATGAATTAAAAAAAAAAATAACAGCAACAACAAGAATTCTTTACCATAAAGAATGAAAGAACAACTTTTCTTTAAAAACATTTAAAAGTAGTAGTTACCAGTAGTAGTGACAGTGACTTGATTTGAAATGAACCCTAACACTGGTACTATAGAATGTGAATATAACTCACAAGAAGTCTTTCAGAGGTCTTTCATGTACACACTCTCAAATTTTAAAGCAAGTAACTCAACTCTATCACTATCCTACTTTTTAACTTTTAACAATTTTTGTAGCACTTGTCTTAACTTAAGTTTTCCACATTTATGAACTTAGTCTAATATATGTAGAACATATGACCATCTTAGATATCATAAGTTGGGTATGTGATTATTTTAAAACACATTTTGTAATATAATTAAAAATACATCTGTATTATATATAAGCAAATAGTAGTTACTTCAATTTGATAAAGTTATTAATTCTTCAATTGGACATGCTAAAAGAAAACAAATAGCTCTTAAATCTTCAGTAAATTCTTCAAAATTTTTTTATACATGAATATTTTGAACATGAATTGCACAAAGAATGAAAACAATTTAAAATACAACTACTTCTTAGGCCTTATACTAGGATTGGTCTGTTGGCACTGATAAGGGAAATAAATGCTAATATGGCCACAACATGTTCTTGCCTGTGCACCTTCTCAAGGAATTTTTTTTTTTTTAAAAGTCTCGACATTTACTGACCACAAATATACCTTCCTCCTGCTACTGTGTACTATTTATTAAAGAAATCATGGCTTCAGATCTTTTCCCAGATTTAACTTTAGCCAAGAGTAAGAATCCTGGAGAAGGCACACCTACACTTTACTTTACTGTACACATCTAATGATCAACAAATATCTAGTAAGCATCATTTATGAACAAAGTTCTGGGAGGAATTTTAAAAAATGAGCAATAGGAGTTAATTATTAGGTGGCAGAAGGCATTAAGTGATCTTTAAGTTTCTTCCAGTTCTAAGACTAAGTTATAATGTTTTAGTAAGCCTTATATATGACTGAATATGTTATGAATATGTAATGAAAATGATGGCCATGGCAGCAAAATGCAATTAAAAAACGTTTTTTTATGTTTCTTCAAAGAAAATACCAAAATGTTTTGACAAATACCAAGCTATGAAAAAAAGCACTGATTGACCATCAATTTCAACTGTGAAATGCGAGCATGTGAAATTCAAGCTTTCAGAGAACAGCCACATTAAGAGCTTGTTAGACTATGAATTTGGTTATACTAAGGGGTCAAATAATGACCCTAAGTACACAGGTTTCTCTCTCTCTCCCTCATTAAAACAGAAAATTTAAAAGATGCTCTCCAATAATAGAATTATAATTAGATTTAAGTATTTTTTAATTATTCATCTACACAAATGACCTTAGATCAAGCACAGGCAAAATATAAGTTGCAATAATATCTACATGTAGTGTGAAGGTTTTTTAAAAATAATACAAAGTTCATTTACAGTGCACAAGTGAAAACAAGGTAAGTTTCAAGTACTTATAATAAAGATCTTCCTCTCGCCTTTTAAAAATTTATACAAAGAGATGTGATAAAACTACTGACTAACATCAGCCTTTTGCTTGGGAGAAATCCGTGCAAATACTGCTAAGGGTGTTTTTTCCTACCCATAGTTCACAGAAATAAATACAGTTCCTATTTCTTTTTTTTCTTTAGAAGTAATGTGTAGTTGCAATGGTTATGTTTTATAAAAGAAAAAATATTAATATTGCATGATGTCTGCTTCAGTGAGGGGGTTTACCTACCCACCAGCACTGGTTAGCGGGGTTTAACCAGTGAGGTCATTTCCTAATTTTCGTACAGAACATTATGGAGCTCTACTCTCTTTCTGTTCACTACTCTCCCTAGACCTCAAAGAAACACAAAAGTTCCCTTGATTACTCATCTACCAAATAACAATGTATACTGCTAATACTTGCTTAAAACTGAATCTATTTTTCTTACCCAACAGTATAAAACAAATATTTACTGAATTCCCAGTTTCTGAAATATTTTGTGATATCCTCCAACCTCGTATATTAAGTATCAGATCTTGAGGAAACACATGAAGAATGTACTAATGTTTAAAAAAAAAAAAAGTAAGGGATGGCAAAGGAATTGTTACCAAAAAAACAATTCCAAGAAAACTATAAAGTTAAGTAAACTGCAAAGTAAAAACTGTCACACAATGGGCATTTTATTAGCATAATAAAGGCTTGTGAAAAGGTAGTATTTTTAAAATAAAAAATGACACATTTCTTCGCTTTCAAGTCCTCTAGCCAATACAAAAATATTTATATAAAACACATGAAAATGTTGCGAGGGTATTATTGTAATTTAACTGCAATGAATTAAACTTAAAATTAAAAATATATATATATTCAGCTAAGAGGGGGATAGTCAACATTATTCTAATTGTTGAGATAATTTCTAGTTAAAATAGTCTTATGAAAGAAAGTCTTTTCCTGATGCCTGGTTGAAATATGTGACAGTATTCTAAATGAAATTAGTCAATCAATTATCCTTAGTCTTCCCATCCTGTGTGATAATCCAAAGGCTCTGTCAACAGGAAAAAAAAAAAACAAACAAAAAAAAACCCAAAAGCCTCCACCATTAACAGAAAGCCTAACTTAAGTATACAACTTTCAAAACAAATTAATTTCAAATGGATACAGAGTGTAAAAACACAAACTGAATCAAATAGCTAAACTGCTACTGACCTAGCTTTCAAGGCAAATTTCTAAGCTGTGCAATAAAGGGTTGAAATTTCTTTCACTGAATGTACACTGACTTGTTATAATCCAAATTAACCTAACTTGAGGCATTCATCTGTTAGCCAGTTTTCTTTCATGTGGTAAATAGAAACTAAATTATCATGACCAAATAGTTCCAGGTTATAGAACATTACAGATACAGACTATGACCAAGTGGGCTACCATAATTTTATGTACGTCAATAACTTTATAAAAATCACTCTAAGCTTTATTTCAAAACACATGGCATTATATTTCTGGAAAAGAAACTGACATTGAGTAACATCAGTTAATAAATTAAACTAGTGTCACCACAAATGAGACAACAAGTAGAGAGCAAGTTTCTTATCTTCAAGGACTGAACCTAATGGCCATATCCATCATATTATCCCTCTTCGTCACTTCAATACGATAAAATAGGATGTTAATGCCATTTCCACTGTTCTTCCATTCAAAAGGCAGCTGAAGTTTAAAGCGTTTGTAACACGCAAAAATTATTGTTATCCCATGACTTTATTGTATGTTTAGAAAGGTGTAATAGCAGAAGAAAAAGAGGCAGGACAAAAAACTTTGAAGTTTTCTTCTTCAGATGTATGCAGAAGCGATTACGTTAAAAGTAGGATTCTGTAAAAATAAACCCATTTGATAAATTTAGGTCTGGAGAGACAAATGCAAAATTTCCAAATAGACTTTATTACTGCACGATCATAAAAATATTGAAGCTTAACTGCTTAAGTTTGCTAGTCTTATTACAATTATTTAGAATATCACCTACCATAATGTTAGCATGATTTTATCAAACATGATATATGAATAAAAAAATATACTGGATTTCATTTCTTACAGGACAAGAGTTATAAACATTAAAATTGACTGGTAGAGAAGAATCTGTATATGGCTATGTTATTCTACATTGTTATACACGTCTTCATCAAATATTAGAACTATAATTAATTAAAACTTTTTTTAAAAAGCAAAACTATCAGGCTGAGAAACTCTGCACAGATTAAAACTATAATTGAGAAACTATTCTTTAAGATGCTTGGCAACTTTTATAAAGTAGTCAGAATGAAGCAAGCCTAACATTTTGCCAGATTTATTTTTTTAATGGATCTGCAGGATACAAAATAGATCATCTGTCCAAGTCACAGATATTTTGTAACAGTTCACAGAGTCACAAATCACTAGGGCTGGGAAAGGCCTTAGAGTCTATAGACAGGTAGGAAACAAGGAAAATTGGGATGGTTTCCTAATGTGCAAGGCCTTGCCATGCACAAATATCATCACAACCTAGCTCTTAGGACTACCCTGGCTTGCTCTTGAGACACACTTTTGCAATAGCAACTCTAGATGTCACTGACAAAGTTAAGGGAGAGACACTATTATACAGCTTTGGGCTTCCTCATTTCATTAAAAAACTAGAAATATACCTTATTTTTTAATAGGGTTTCTGTGGCTTCCATGAATTTTTTTCCCAAAAGCCACATCTGTAAACAAATATGTCATGTAAACTCTGGTGCTAAAGAGGAGAACATTCAAATCGAGAACATACTAAAAATGTTTATTTCTAAGAGTAACTATTCATAGTTAGCTATCATGACTAGGATAACATTGTGACACTTTATGGATTAAAAATTTTTTTTTCATACATTAAAGACATAGAAGACATTTACAAATACAGAAACACGTTAAAAACACCAAAATTATTTTGGTTTGTGTTAAATATGATTATGTGTTTTTGTATATACAGAAGCAAACAAAACAAAGTAACAAATACGTAGAAACAAACACAACAGTATAACAAAGGATTACTCTAAGGTTTTCAGCTTCCTGCATTCTCATTCACTGCTGATGTACTTACTGTTGTGAATGACGATGTAGGACCTAAGTTGTGCTTCCTTTTCTAGCTTGCTTCTCAAATATATTTCCCCTACAGTAGAGGGGAATAGGTAGTTTGGTTTAAGGGCCTTTTGTGAACTGACTGAACTGAGTACGGCTAGGGAAGGAAACTTTCACATTTCTACTCCTTACATTTCTGACCATGCTGTTCTTCAAGCTGCCTTTAGGGTAAGGCTCACAGATAAAGTGATGAACTATTTTAAATTGGTAATGGCTTAATTATAGCATTTTTCTTTTCTCAACTTCTTCAATAAAAGGAAATGACTTACTGATTATAATTCTTGTGCAATAACTAAAAATTAACTATGCTACTAAGGGAAGTCCTTAAATATATATTTTATTAGGAACATGCTTATAATGCCAGACTGTAGAATCAGATGAGAGGGACAACACATTAAGGAAAGAACTAAATTTTAAGGCTATATCAATTATTTTAAACAAGAGAAAGGCTTTAAATGGTTTTAAACTGAAGAGAATAAGATTAAGAATAATAATTAAAATTTTTAATCAAGCCAAATAAATAAAAAGATTTGCAGGTTGAATATTTAACATATACATAACTATCCATAGACTATGAACAACGAGGAATAAAATAATGACAACTACAGTTCAATTTTTACATCCAGAAGATAAGGGTCATCTGCATATTATAAAATATCTTAGCTTTTTGTTCACTGTAGTTCTGTTTAAAGTAAGTACCAGAGGATATTTTTAGTTCAGCCAGAAGTAATCAAGTTATTCAAAGGAACATTATACATATGAAATTCAGAAGCTAGTTTCAAGGATACATGCCATAAAAAATTATTATATCATGAGGAGCAAGCAAGATATAGTTAAGAAGAATGATAAACTATTAAGATAAGTTTAAAATATAAATTTTGCATTTTGTCAGTACCAATGCAGTAAGAGAATTTTTACTCACTTAATTTATTTCTCCTGATGAAGAGCTTCAATGAAAGCATCAAGTTTTTCTTGAATTTCTCTAACTTTCTCTGGAGATAAAAATATAAATCAGAAAAATAATTATTTACTAAATGGTTTGATATACTTCTTTAAGTACTGGGGAAAAGGGAAAAAATTAGAGTCTTACCATACCATCTTATACCCAAATAAATTTCAGCTAGGTTACAGTAGTAGCTCTATGCCATTTTTTGGAAGGGAGAAGAGGAGAGTTGTGACAGACCCTTTTGAGAATCTAATAAAATTTATGGACGTTTACATAAAAAAAGCATGTATAGATAAATGTACAATTATGTATAGAATTTTAAGGAATTCCCAGGTTTTCTGAAGCCCAAGGACTCAGTCAGCAATGCCTGGAACAGAAGAAAATGTAAAACAACGAAACTACTTTAAAAAATTAAAAGAAAATACAGGTGGGTATTTAACTGGCCTTACATGGGAAATGACTTTTTATGTATACAGTAACAGGAGGAACCACAAAGAAAAAGATCAACCAATATGGCCACATTAAATTGTACAATCTATATCTCAAAATGCCATACAATTAAAAGATAAAGGAAACTGTGTGAAATATTTGCAACAACATGATAAGGGCAATAATATTTAAAAAATACATATAAAAAAGCACTTTTCCAGCTACGTATGAAGAAAGAAAAGTTTAAAAACACCAAAGCTACTAAAGGCAGATTTACATTACTTATTTGATTCTAGGTTTTCATGCTTTTAGACCTCCAAATAAAATCTATAATTTCTCTCTGAAATGTAAACTTCTTCCACAAATATGAACTATTTACGGTACATGCCAATCTTCTATTAAAAGTGGAAAAATCATGACTTATACTCCTTCATTGCTAACTTAATCATACCTCTAAAAGATAAATTATAGTAAGAATGATAATGAATGTATTTGTCCTTTTAACACAATTTAATATATCAGTGGGAATTATCAATTAAGTGAGTTGACTGGTTCAAAGCTAGTGAACTAGAGGCAAAACTGGCAAGCATTCTACTTTCTATTTATAGGAAAATCATATAAGATGCATTTAATATTCAACAGTTGTATCTTTTACATTTAAAAGTAAATAACCTGCAATTGAAGATATAATATCCTTTTTAACAACAAAGCAACTTTAGTGGAAAAACTGTCCTTTTATGAATTCTTATTAGCTTTTCAGGATCTCAACAAAGCCTATAAAAGCCTTTATATACATATAAAGAACATAATGTTTTCATATTATTTTTTCAGTAATTTAACACTTCTAATTCTTGGTATTAGATTGAGACTAATGAAAAATCTGTGGAGGAAAAAACTCTACTGTTTTAATCAAACTATTTATTGAAAAAATATGATAATATTTATCAGAAAGACAGCATTAAGACCTTACATATAAAATCAAACTATAGAAACTAGAAAAAAATAACCTCAATCCATTTCTTAGGTAAGTCTGTATTTTTTGGTAGGCTGACTTGCATTTCTTAAACAGCAGTCAAACCAGTAAACATACCTGCTTTACCAAAATAAGGCCTCATTCTTAGTTTTAAAATTAATTCATCTAGTTGCTTAGAAACAGCTTAGACTATTTCTTTCAATAACTATTTAGAGTTTCACATAAGTTCATCAGCTGAAGAAATTTTTAAAAAGGGGGGAGGGTAGGAGAAAACAGTTTCCTAATCTGTCTTAAAGAATTTTGGAAATGAATGGGTCTTTTAACTTAAACAGCACAACACATGGAAATCTCAAGCAGGGGTTTAGAGCCTCAGCAGCTCCTCTAAAAATTTCAATGAGAAATATTTCTACTTGGGTAAGCTATACTGTATGAACAGAGGAAATCCAATTCCATTTGATACACAATTTGAGTACAAAAGGGCAGCTGCAGAGCCAGCTCTATCCACCCTTTTGTCCTATCAATGACCTCCATCCTCAACTGGACAGACTATCTGCAGGAGCATGGTAGTCATGTTCACTCACAAGAGACTGTTCAGAGCAAGATCTATTTGTATTGAAAGATATCAAGAGGCACTCTGATGAAGGTGTCTAACTCTGTAAGGCCTAAATGAAAGTCAAATTTTTCTAAAACTAAGGGGTAAGCAATTTTTTTCTAAATGAAAATAAAAGGAATATTTATTTTAATATGAAAACCACAGAATGGAAAATTGCCAAATTTCTCTTTAAAAGCTATGCTTTTACAAAATATTTCATAATTAGAATATCAGAACATAGTACCACTACACCTTAAACCTCAGCAATGATTAAGGGCACCAAAGTAAGTTACTATGAAGTAATGGGGACGGGGGTGTGGAGGGAGAATGGAGGTAAATGTTAAAAGAGAAAAGAGCAACTGTGATCTAACTTAGAAACATTCATTGTTTTGTTTGTTCTTTCATACTTATATAACACACTTGATGGAGTGATATTGGTGACACTGATGATATCCTTCGTTTGAGAAGCATTCCTTGCCTATTCTCTAAGTCTATGAAGTGTCTACTGTTTTGAGTGTTTTCAAATCTGACATTTCATGTGATCCTCATATGACCCTGCAGGTATCACTGCTAAGAAGGAGGCCATTAAAGCCTGGAGGGTTAGCACTGTCCACATTCCTGATTCAGAAACACATACTACATCTGCTACCATATGCTAACTCTAAATTATGACAAAGTCGGTTTGTTTCAAGTATTACCTTTTATGTGAAATAAGACATATTTTGATAAAACAGGGAACAGAACAAACAGTTCCTGTAATGCCCCAGTATTACAGTACTTTCAAATTCCAAAATCTAACTGTGTTTAACTATTTCACCATTAGAAACTGCTTTTTCACAGATATGTATGTATAGATCAGCATGGATAATTATAAAGCAAACTCCCTTTTCTATTAAATATTTGAATTAAATATTCATAACTAGAGAATTCTTATAAAATGTGTGATTTACTTGATAAATTAAACCAACTCAGGAAGAGATTAACAAACTGCTATTTCTGTTACACAGAAATAGTCAATTCTACATATAGTGAATACTGAGTCTATTTTCCATTTATCCAATGTTTACTTAAAAGATGAGCTACTTCAAACATTAATTCATTGTGCTTCTTGATTGAGTCATGAATATTCCCATAATCCCCAACTCATAATCATCAGTCTCAGTGAATGAAGTTCCTTCTCTTTTTTTTCTTTTCTTCAGATGACTTGACACCCATTCAAGTTTTGGGTCTCTTTATCTCCACATGAAATAATACTGCTACTTTCATTTTCTTTTTGGGGCTTCTGATACTTGTTCTAAAAGTCTCAAATATAGACTAATCTGTAATTAGGTTTTGAATACACTGTGAATACCAAAAGGCCAAACCTGTGAAAAGGTTCACTTCAGTAGTAAACAACAGTTCAGAATAGGAATAAAGAACCACACACAAAACACTACCACATGCACTGAAATAAATCTTTTACAACTTGTGATGTTTTTAAAAAAAGCATGAAGAAATAAGAGGTTCACTTACTCATGCAGTGTACTTTAAGCAAACCACATATCCAAAGATCCAAATGTACCTTAACAGAACTGTTTAGGAATAAAGAACCACACACAAAACACTACCACATGCACTGAAATAAATCTTTTACAACTTGTGATGTTTTTAAAAAAAGCATGAAGAAACAAGAGGTTCACTTACTAATGCAGTGTACTTTAAGCAAACCACATATCCAAAGATCCAAATGTACCTTAACAGAACTGTTTTATAACATGCTGCATAAGCACTTTGTACCAAGCTTTAGGACACCTTGAAGGTGAGATTCTTTTGTAAAAAGCTATTCACTAAAGGACTGAAAATAAAAGGAACACATCTTATTATGTAATGTATGTTTTATTAGACAGTTACACTATGTAAGTGCCCTTCATTTAAAGGAATCTAGGGTATGGGGAAACAAGGAAAGAAAAAAAGGTGAACAAGAGACCACCGTCAAGATTCTCAAAATGTCAGTCAAAATCTTAGATTTAATCTTAGAAAACAAAATGTGCATCTTTTACAGGTGATGAAAGGGTGCACTGACTTTATAGTCAGAAGTATATAGCTAAATCTAGCACTTAACTTCTGAATTTTGGCCCTATAGTTTTTTTCCTAGAATTAGGCATGATTATTTTTAAACAGACTTACTGATAAAGACAAACAGAATACTTCTGCTTGTTACAGAAGGAGGCATCAATTCTTATGTCCTGGAGAGCTGTTTAAGACTGGTACAGTACTTTCAAAGCTAGGGTTCCTAGAATTCTGGGTTGTGTGAAGGCTGGGTTATTTCCATTATTTCAAAAATTCAAATGGAAGTCTTTGGGCTAGAATTACATCCATTATCCTACCAACTGTTTATTTAGGCTGATTTGGGGCTGTAACTGGTAGCTATATGTTTCTAATTTTAAAAAAAGTAAGTGTATTATTATAGACAAGGTGTTTTAAAACATGGACTTCACAAGAATATACAATAATGAAAGGAATGTTTGATAAAAAAATGAGGACTGCATGGTCTAACATCTCTAATAATCAATGAGGCGGTTATTTTACATGATTTTTATAAAGGAGAAACACAATGTAATGTATACTTTATAAGGTATATGATAATGTGGTATTTTGCTTATAACTGTGGGCAAGTCATAGTCCTAGTTTACCTATCTATAAAATGAGGGAATTTGTCCAGAAGAATTAAAAGCCCACATTACTTTAAAACTTAGGAATTAAATATACCATTCTAATTGATTACTTGCTTCTAATTGTGTCATCTTAAACTTTATCCACTTTTTGTTTATTTCTTAGTATCTTTTTATTTATTTCATGTTAATCTTCTGGTAAAAAATGTAATCACTAATTATAAAATTGTTCTTATGGGGATACGTAATTCATTTTGGAAAGATCATTTCTATAATACTTGTTTTCTAAGAATCAATGTGGGGAACTACAGAGACTACTTGCAGGAATTATCTACTTTTTAAAAAGTCTATCATTTAAAATCACTCAGCCTAGCAAAGTATTTGCTATGTCATAGATACCC